GGGGGGGGGGGGGGGTGACAGGGGGGGTTGGGGCTCCACAGATCTTCAAGCTGCCAAGGTTGAGAAACACTGAGTAAGAAGAATAAATCAAATAGCAAGATCAGGGCAAATAGCATGTTTTTGAAACTCTTCCCTCGAACACCAATCCACCCAAAGTGAGAATGAGGCCCAAGAAAAAGGCCCAACCAATTCCAGGGGAGAGATGCTTCGCTCTTCGCAAACATGATCTTAATAAAAAAAAGTCCTCCAAGCTACCACCGGAGGTTGCAAGTAAACAGGTTCCTCCAGGGAACAGAGCAAGACTCAGCAAGAGAGCCAGCTCTGATTCCGACAGCAGCCCCAGGGTTACAGGGGAAAGTCTAGCTCTGGAATGCAATTGTGCTGGCAAGACAAATACTGCCTAGTGCACACACATATACACACCCCACACAGAAATTTTCTGAATGGTTATGAGAGTGTTTTTCAAACTTGGCAGCTTTGAGATGTCTGGACTTCCAGAATTCCCCAGCCAGCATGCGTGAACTTCAACTCACTGAGCTTCCTAGCCAGGATGTGTGGAGTTCAACTTCCAGAATTCCCCAGGCAGGATGTGTGGACTTCAGCTCCCAGAATTCCCCAGCCAGCATGCTTTAAGATGTATGGACCAACTCCCAGAACTCCCCAGCCAGAATGTGTGGACTTCAACTCTTAAAACTTCCCAGGTAGGATGTGTGGACTTCAACTCCCAGAACTCCCCAGCCAGTTGAAGTCCACAGATCTTAAAGCTGCCAAGGTTGAAACACTGGATTATGAGCTTTTCTCTTACTCTTTGATGTAGAGTAATTGTTTCCTGTGCCACAATTAGAGACCAATGAATTGGGGGGGTGGGAGGGGTTGTTTTTTGCTGATGCAGCAAATCCCTGGCTGAAGCAATGTGTTCTTCCCCTAATGCCTCCTAACTATGTAGTCTTTTCTTCACTTTTTTTCCAGCCTCACCAAGTCCTAGCGTAAGTTCTCCTTGATGACATCAGCAGCTCAACATCAAGGAGGGCATTCATCCTGTACCTGTGGTGCACAGAAGAATTTTGCTTTGGACCGAAATACAACAGCAGAGGGCATTTTTCCTTACAGAAGGGAGTCCAACCCCTATTTCAAGCCATGGTCCTCCCAATGCACAGACTGCAAATGTAGTGATGGATGAATTGGTCCATTTCAACTTCTTTTAGTTTTTCCTTTTCCCAATATCAATACAGGTAGTCCTCGGGTTACGACGGCAATCGGGATCCGAATTTCTGTTGCTAAGCAATGTGGTTGCAAAGCGTGATGTCATGTGACTGCATCGCTTAGCAACGGCAATCCTGGCAGTCCCGGTTGCTGTTGTAACCCCAGGATCACAGAGGTTGTTGAGTGGGAAGAGGCCAGAGACCCAGGCAAGGAACATGGGGGTGGGAGTGCATGGGTGCCTTGAAGAGGGGCACTAGAGAGCATGGGTGGGCCAGCAAGGGCCATGCAAGGGCCATGGGCAGATGCTAGGGAGGATGGGTGGGCTGGCGGAGGCTGCTGGCAGGTGCTGGGGAGCACAGGCAAGCAGGTGGCTCCTTGGGAGAAAAAGTGGCAGGACTGACTTATGGGAGCAACTTGCAACCTTCCCTGCCAGCTTCCCCATCGACTTTGCCTGTGAGAAGCTGGAAGGGAAGGTCATAAATGACAATTACATGACTATTGCTCACTGTGACTACATAAACACAAGCCGGGCACCCAAGCACCAGATCACGATCACATGACTATGGGGATGCTGCAATGGCTGCAACTTTGTAAGTCTCCCTCATTCGGGGCCATCATAATTTTGAATGGTCACTGAATGAGTGGTCGTAACTTGAGGACTATGTGTATCTGTGAAATGACTCGGAGTTGAGTTTCATTCACAGGAGGTATTATTTCCTTAAGTTGAAAAGACTGCAAGATTACTTGTTTTTAAGGAAAACTATGCCTTTTGATGCCTTCTGTTCGCCTCCTTTTTTTTTTTCCTTCAGTTTTTCATACAAGATCACCATGCAGTTTAGAAGCTTAATTTTCCAGGGTTCTAAGCTGGGTAAGGCTTCACAAATTCAAACAAGGAGAGTCAGCTTCCTGCTCCAGATGCACACCGCACACTTAACCTGCTTATGGAATTAACCCATTTTACTCTTTTTACACAAGGCATTAAACCATAAACTACTGTAATATCCTAAGCCACAAAAAGCGAACTATGCTGTAGAGCAGTGTTTTTCAAACTTGGTGCCTTTAAGATGTGTGGACTTCAACTCCCAGAATTCCCCAGCCAGCACACTGGCTGGAGAATTCTGGGAGTTGAAGTCCACACATCTTAAAGTTGCCAAAGTTGAGAAACGCTGCCCTAGAGCATCCAGGCATATCTGGAGGCTGGCATTTAAGGAAGGCTGCTGTTGCACAATAGAGTTATTAATGGTCTGTAAAGATATTTAATACCAGCAAGCTTTGTCCATCAGGTAGTATCAGTATTATTTTGAAACTACCATATGCTCGTGGATAAGCTGAGAATTTAGGTGCCAAAATACACCCAAAAAATTGGGTTTGGCTTATCCACAGATGGTCTTATTCTTGAGCATATAGCAATGATGTTGAACCTTTTGGGCCTGCCATGTCAAAAATTCAGAAAATGCCTAAACTTGACTCTGCTGGTGTGTCACCACCACCCACCACCCTGAACAAAAGAGAAACAATTCTTTACATATTAATTTATTTAAAAAAATACAATCCAATCATGTGTGGTGCTATGTATTATATAAAGAAACATCAAATAATTACAAAAA